TGAAAATTAAATTTCACTCAAGTGCTGGTGCATGCATTCAATAATCTCGTACATGTCCGCAAGACACATTGTCGTCTAGTAATTTACACACCTTATTTTTTCACCTGTCATACCATATCATAACACGTCTGAATTATACTACACGTACATAATTTATTGTATACAATGATGTCCACACCCTCACATGGAGGAGGATCCACTTCGAATAAAATATAATATATTCAAAATGTGTCTCCTCCATGTGAATGTGTTGACACCATTACGTACAATGAATTATGTACGTGTAGCATAATCCAACACATTTTATGTTTTCATCTGTGTTTTATCTTTCTCTCAGCTATCACAGGGTGCCAGTTGGTCGTACATGGTTTGAATGGTGAATACACCTTATTGCCAGATTAGGCAAACTGCATGTACTAAATTTAATGTTCATGGGATTCCATTATTATCCATGTTTAGGCTTCCAAGACGCCCAGAGCTTCAACCCTTTAACACTTATTTCTATCTGTTGACATAAGTCAATTTACTGCTCAGATACATATTTATGTTATTTATGGAACTATTAATAGATTATACAGTGTACATTTGCTTGTATTAAATGCAAAATTAAAGTTGCAAGAATGGTTTATGGTGAACAAAAAACGCATATGGGTAGAAAATCATGATTTGTACATGTGATTTTCCAAAATAAATAACAAAATATAAATAGTCCATTAGTCATTCAACTTATAACGTTGTTCCACTTTAGTCTACAATTTTTTTTATAACAAAAGCCTCAGCTCTATGGCTCGAGCTTCAAGTTTCGAAAAAGGGTTTCGTATGTTACTATTTAGAGTGTGTTTGAGACACATTCTTTTGAAAGAATGTATTATTGAATAGTAGATTGATGGAGAATGTGTAGTTAAAAATGAAGGAAAAGTTTTTGATGTGATGGAAAATATTATGTAGATTGATGGAGAATGTGTGTTTAAAAATGAAGAAAAAGTTATTGATGTGATAGAAAATATTATTTTATTGAAGAATGTGTGGTTGAAAATGAGTAGAAGAATGAGAATAAAAAAAAATAATGTGTACTAAATAGGGCCTTAAAAAGAAATAATAATGTTCAGCAAGATGGATCGAATAGCTTATACTAAAGAAGAGTAGTTATGTTCCATGGTTCCATTCCAAAGTATTCCAAATGAGCTAACTTGAAACCTGAACCAGTCAACAATTGCTGGCAATAGATAATTAACTCACTCTACTTGAAACCTCGAAAATTTGATATTTTTCTGATGGCGTACTGTTTATCAATATGAAATCTGGAGTAGAACATATTCAAGAAAAATTCACAAAATAGAATGAAATGCGAAATAAATCGTAAAAATATTGAAGTCACTTCAATTCCATTTGCATAAAATCACGAATAATCAATGTCTTAGAAGGAGCTACTCTGCTATAGTGATACAGAAACGTACTCAAAATTCAGAGGCGGAGAAGAAAAATGGAAAGCGAACGCTCACTCATTTACATATTTACGTATTCACATTAATGGAATGCAAAAAAAATCTAAGGACTAACCTCTGTGAGCTGTTATATGGCTGAGTCAGTCGCAATTAGATTCTCTCCACTTTCCCAATGACTATCACGTAAATCATGTACACAGGACCATGATATAAGTGCACGTTCGATTCCAACAATCAAAATCGTCAATCCATAGGGTAAATGAAGCAAAACCAGAAGAGAACTGCTCTACCAGTCTTCAAGCCATTCTGGGGAGTTAAGTTCCTCCACATCTCCAAGTGGGGAATAAATGGAAGCTGATGCATCCTCAGAATAACTTTCCATGCGTTGATTTATACGCAAGAGAATCTCATTGGGAACAGGAACCATACGATGTACTAATCCTTCCCAATCAACACCATCAAACCAAGGGTGAAGTTTGATAGAGTCTATGCCTTGGCTTCCTAGCCGTGTGCTTTCGTCAACATCAAGTAACTGAACCATATGATTAATTAGAATCGAGCTATGTGAAACTTTATGAATCAAGAAATAACTTCACACTTTCAGTTTCACCTTAGTGATGAGATCGACAGCTTCAAGGCTGAAAGTTTGTGGTAGGGTTAGCTGTCCTTTCGCAATTCTAGCAAATGTAAGCTCACTCTCTCTCCAAGATCCAAAAGGCATTTCACCTTGTAGCATGAAGTAGATTAAAGTTCCCAATGCCCACCTAATCAACTTAAAATAAGTGGAGAACTTCTAGGATGGCAGATATTAAGAAAGCAGAACCACTAATAATAATAATATGCTATTCAGCCGTAGAAAATGGCTATACGCACATACAGAAGGTCATATCATCTATGGAAACAACTCATATACTTCCGAAAAGATCATGAACATTTCTAAATGTGAAGGCAAATACCAAATACGGTATCTTCAATAGTTTGAGTCAAAAATTATTCAGAATTTATCCCGGCAACAAGAATGGCCTTCAACGTTGATAAACTAAGGGTACCTAGGTGTAGCATCCTTATATGCTATAAAATGTTTAACTTTACATTCTCGTACGTATGATTATGCTTTCCCGCGGGAAAAAAATTGCAGTGATTAGATGGCAGATACCATGACTCTGATTGTGATTGTTATGTTTGGAGGCAACAGTAATCGTTTTGGAAAATTGTAAGTGAAGTCATATATAGCATTATAGAATTCTAAGTATTATCTAATAAGCTGGCAAATAGAAATTGCAGCAGCAACCAGTAGTTCCAAATTGTGCATTAAGGATCAAATATACTTGATTATCGGGGAACTATGAGGTAAGACGACAATATTCACTGTACCTTACCGAACTTAACATCAAAATCCTCTCAGATACTCAAATTTGACATCATAATACCATATATGCTATAACTGCACAACACTATATGATTTGTATTGTGCTATCAAGAAATGCATAAACAGTATTTCATAATCAAAAAAGAATCATCGTCTAGATTATGATTTTCTTATTCCTATAAATCTACAGGTCAGTTCTAGTTTTGCAATCAGACATATCTGCAAGTTTAAAGATATGCCATGGGCAAGGCGGTCCATTTCAGGCCTGAATATAAAGTATAATGATACATAATAGAAAAATAAGGTAACAGATTGACAGGTCTTTCTTTCCCATCTATATTGTTAGTTACACAACATATAAAACACTTGACTAAAACTCTAGTAAACAAGTAGAACTTAAAATTAACCAGAAAGCAAGTGAAGGTGGCATACCAGTCAGCAGGAAAACCATGACCTTTCCCTTGAATTATTTCTGGAGCCAAAGAATTTGCCATCCCACATATAGTATATGTTCGCTCACCAAAATCACCAGATAACATCTTTCCAAATTTGAAATCCACTAGCTACAGTGAACCAAGAAATAAATCATGCAAATGAACTGTCTAATTGGCCTTATTTTGTAAGGTCGTAAAACACATACAAAGATTTCAGAACACAGAAACATAAATAATGTATTGCCTGTATATATCCTGTCTGGTCAAACATTAGAACATCAGGAGAGACACCTCGATAGAGAATGCCCATCTGCAAATAAAATACAGACAGATGGAATTATTTTTTTCTAAAATATCATTGGCACATAGGAAAACAAAGTTGATCTTGCAAATACTGCCTCAAGCAAATCATAATAGATATCATTGGAATATAGGAAATTGAATTGATCTTGCAAATACTACCTTGTGCAAATCATCCAAGGCAATAACAACAGAGGCAGCACAGAATAGTGCAGATGGTTCATCAAGTGCATCGTGCATTATTGAGGTCACTGAGCAAGCAATACGCGTATCTAAAAGTATGCCAGCATGCGTCTGATCAGCAGAAGTGCATATAACTCGAGGCACAAAGGTAGACTGCCTTATATGCTTCATTAAATTCTTCTCCTTCAGAACTTGTGCCTCTTTTCCAAGTTTCTTAATCTTCTGTTTTGAAAACCTCTTCAAGCTAAGCAAATTATCTGCAGATCAGAGGGAAAAAGATTCTATCTTATATCCAATGGATCTTTTCCCTGTATATTATAAACCAAATGCATGAACTAAACCATATCGGAGCAAAAACACCAATAAAAGAAGTGGGGCAATTTCCTACTACCTCAAAGAACTAGTGAATTTTAAAGATATTAATATTACATAATGAAGTGAAAAAATCCAACCTGAGTCTCTCAACAGTACTAGGCCAATCTCGCTGCAGTCTGTGGAACACAAATGCATTCTCCACTCCTTGACAAAATAACACTAGAATTACTTCACTTCCCATTAAAGGTTATCAAAAACATAATCGAGAAAAACAATGTTATTGCTTACCAAATCAGCAAGTTGAGCTTTCCCAATAGTGGAACTCTCCAATTTTTTGTGAGAATCCGTTGAGAAACTAGTAGAATAGTCCTTTGTCTGAAACAATCTAACAAGCAAAAACATTTTAGTCAAGGTAAAAAATTGAAATTTGAAAGTTGACCAAGAAAACATGAATTCCAGAATTCATCCGTGGAAACTAGATATATATATATATATTTAGTCAAGCTCTTTAATGTTATTGTAGACAGTAATTTGTGACATACTTGGGATTTTCTCGTGAATGCTTTGCCAAGGGTCCCACAACTAAGTCAAACTTTTCCTTTGTCAAGATGGAGCATACCACATCGCCCATGGCAGTAATACTTAAGGGAGAAATAATTTCTCCAAGAAGTGTCCATTCTCCAAAATAGCTTCCTTCAGTCTTCTCCACTGAGAAACTATTGTCTTTCATATCATCATGCTGCTTCTCAAATTTATGCATCAGGCTGGATGCATTTACACATTTTACTGAATCCATGTCACTAGTAATTTTTACTACTCCCTTCTGTATGATGTAAAAACCCGAAAGGTCCTCACCCTGCACGTGCATGCCAAAGATAAATAAGAGAACAGGGTAACTAGAAAGAATATTTAGATTTACAAACTAAGTATACCATATTGACTATTGTCTGCCCATCAGAGAAAGACACCTCTGAGAGAGAATCTGCAACATGACTCAGCTGTAAGATTGTCAACCTCGACAAAAGATCTACTGATCGAAGTAACTTCAATGAAGATAAATTAGAGAACTCTGACATAAGAATCTCCCTAAAATCTTCTCTTTTAAGTGCCCATAAAGTTCCATTGGTCGCAGCACGAACAGAAGCTTGCAGGGGTTTATTGTACCTGTAGTTCAACGAAGTTTGAAAAACATAGATTATGAGATTGAATCGTCCATCATAGTAATAACAGTCCATAATTGACATCAATAGACAGCCTAGAAGCAATGGGGAATCATGATTTTACAAGTGTTAAATTGCTATCCGATATTTTCCTTCAAAGAAGAGAACATTTCAAGTAATCCATATTATTAGTTTTTTTTTAAAAAAAACATAAAAATTAAAATTAGAAAGAATAGAATAGCATTAAATATTATTAGAGCTAAACCCCACCACTACCACCACCCCAAAAATGGTGAAAAAAATTTGGGCACAAGACAAGACAGATATGGAAAGATATATATGTTTCCATCTGGACTCTTCTATTTTTAACAAATATGATCAAACTTCAGCACTCTGCTAGATTATTTTTGTTATTGAGCATAGAGAAGAATATCTCACATCAGTGCCAGCTCTCCAAATGATGATAACTTCTCTGCAGTGTATCGTTGTAGAACCCTAGGCGCTTCTTTTTTCTCTTCCTGTCACTACCAAGTCAGGACCGAAGCATTAGAAATTGAATGATATTAATAGTACAAGCTGATTTCAACTGAAACACTTCCAAGTTTAACTATTTTCTTCCATAAGTTACGAGATTCCTGATATTGAAAATAAAAGAAATACAATATCATCACCTCAGTTGCCAAGACCTCAAATTCTCCACAGCCAACAACATAGAAACAGTCACCTTCTCCACCCTACAAAATATGATAATAATTAAAGATGCAGCCATAGACTTGCAAATATTATGGGAAAGGAGAAAGTTACAACCTTAGACATTCAACAAACACTGTGCTGGAGAATAAGACTTAACAGAAACCAGCCAAAAACTCATCCCACTTATTAATAAGAGGCAAACAAGGAGTCACCAATCATGAAGAGGGATGCTCTTCAGTCCATCACATTTAAGATAGAAGTCAATAATGGAATCTGATAAAGCAAGCATGGTCTACGAGGACTTATTGCTTTATGGTTTACCATATGGAATTAAAGGTATTCCTTTTTAAATTATCAGTGAAGAGACATCAGGTGATTGTCTTTAAGTCAAATAAATTAAAGACTTGCTAGTTATTTTATGGATCAGATCTTCAACTTAAAACTAGCCCCAGTTACCAGTTATTCAGCTTATACATAATTCACTTTGGTTATATTTGTCTAGATAAAGAAATTCCCTACGAACAAAATAGACAAGAAATGAAGAAACACAATTTACATGACCATCTTGATAAGAGTTACTTTGTAACCAAAAACTCACATCAGAGTCTTTCAAAGACCAAAACAATATGCAAATCCAATAAAAAGGATTATTTTACTTTCATTTAAGCAACTTTCAACAGCTATTTAATTATATCAAAATGCATCTGGAAGACAAATTCAGAAGTTTCCATTGCTCTAGGAAAGGATTATGGATTCTTAAAAAACAACAAAATTACCTGTTTCACAACAATGTCTCCTGCTTGAACCTCTACTCTTTGCATGCAATCCAACAAAACATGACACTGAGAGTGCGTAAGTTTTCTGAAAAGAAAATGATGCTGCAGTGCCTGTTCAATCTGAGCCTGCCATATAGGAGTTATTAATCTATTTCCATATAAAATAAAGCAAAAATGGGGTGTTGTTCAAAAGCCATAAATTAAGAGATGGGTTTACTTCTTCTTCCCAAGTCTTTCTGTGGGCTGGAGAAGGAGGAACCCAAACTTGCCCTTTCTCTAGAGAACTTTCAATAGCATGGAGTCGTGCCCGTGATATATCATGCCTTGCATGGTGGTTTCTAGTGTTCCAGTTCATAAGTGAAGGAGACTCTGATCCTGATACATCGACAACTTGAGGCACAGGGGGTCTTAAAACTGTATCAGAACTCATTGATTGACAAGAAGCAGCCTGGTAAAAAAAGATAGAATCACTAAATAGACTAAAAGAAGTTTAAGGAAACAGGGACGAACAATAATTTCTCAATAAAGCTAAGCAGCTTAAATCAAGGAGTGTTCTCACATCATTTAATCCATTTATATGCACAACTATCACAGTAATGTCATCCGTACGAATTTCATATTGTAGCCAAAGGCGATAGGATTCAGCAACTATTGCAGCACAAGCATCTCGGGGATCCTTGTATTTTGCAACCTGAAAACTCAGTAGTGGAAGAAGCTGGAATGGTCATAATAAAGAAGAAAGAATAGCTACAATACTGGGAGAAGAGAAAATAGTACCAACGTGGCTAACACAATTCTAGTATAACATCCTCTATATAGGTAACATGTACTTAAGAGAAGGCATCCTTTATTCCTGGCATTCTCTCTAACGTAACATTACCCACAGGGGTGTTAAAAAACTCATATCTCAATGTCACACACTCTCGCTTTCACACTCACACACACACAAACATGAATAATCATTGAAAAAAGGATTCTGTTTTCAACAAATTATCAAAAATAAAAACTAACTGATGAAGAAGTCGATACTCTCTCCCCCTCTTTTTGACACTTCAATCAGAAAGTTTATTGGTCTATATATTTCTTGTGAATTCATGACTTATCCTAAATCAATCAAGTACCTATAGATCTTTTTACAGCTCTCTCTCTCTCTCTCTCTCTCTCTCTCCCCGCTTCTCAAATACCTGATAGGGACCAATGTCACCAAGGCCCACGTCAAGCAAAAATGCTTTTCTCCAGAAAACAACTTTCTGGCAACATATATGCAACAGAGTCCAACTAACACCATCCTGTGTATGTTTGCCACCCATATTGCTTGTTTCTTGATAAATAGTTTTTCCAATGTAATTATCTCCTGTATTTCTCCAGAGAGAGAGAGAGGGGCATTTATAGCAAATTATTTGGAGTGTAATGGTCCAAAGAAAACCTCTAACGATTATTGTGCAATAATTAGCGGCACAAATCACAGTACTGCAATGTGCTAAAACAACAACAGAACAAATCAAAGGAAGTACCAAAGTATGTCCATCTAACAAACCACTTTGTTCTCTTGCAGTAATCAGGCCATCCAGGAGTATGAATCTCTTTCCTGGGTAAATATTGAATTATAGACGTTGTAGTTGGTATGATAGATGTCAATAACAAGTCACCTCTATATTCACAACCATTTTAACGCATCTAATGTTAGTTAGACCACACTATGTCTGAGTTCGTATAGGTACATCTGCTTCAATTTTTGTCTAAATCCACTACTGTGATTATAAGTTCTGCCGTATCTCTTATTAATGACAAAGACGATTACCATATGCTATAAAACATCTGTTCAGACTATACAGGGCCATCAACAGGAAACTGGATGAAACTAATAGCAACTTTTAGAGCAAACATATGATCTCACTCCCCGTTTGGCGAAATGACCATAAAAATCCTGTGGGATGAGATAAGTTTCCTGCACCATATCTCAATTAATGCCATTATGAAACAGCAGATCCGGTCTCTTCATCCAAACAAAATTTAATTTAAATTTTAAGTCGTCATTTAAATGGGAAATATTCGATAGCTTCGGTTCTGCCTATCCCTCAAACATTCTTCTTTTTCTTTTTCTCCAAGTTGGTGGTTCATTGTGTTTGGTATGCTTCAATAATGAAAATAAGAATTATTAAGAGAATAAACACAAAAAGTGTTACAGAAGAGAGATATTTGGTGATTTGAAGAATATTTGCCAATATTGAAGAAAATATTATGACATGATTTGGAGAATATTGGTTGATGATAATTGGAATGTTTCCATATGTTCTTTCTGTGATTATCTCATCTTTAATAAGACAACTTTGTTGTAATATGACTATATATATGTGTCATTGTAACACTTCAGATATAAGTGAATATAGTTTTCTGTCTTCTCCCGTGGATGTAGGTTTGCCGCATTGGCGCCGAACCACGTAATTCTTTGTATTCTTTCTTATATATTGAATTCTTCATGGTATCAAAGCGGATGTATTGATCCGGCCAACAGTTCGGAAAAAAAAAGGAAAGCAGAAACAAATTTTTTTCGCTTCAATTTTTTTTCAGATTTGTGCGACCTCCACGAAAATGGCTGTATCTTTCAAACCGTAACTCAGAATTGCGCAAGGTTGGTGCCGTTGGATTCGTATCATCCGTATCGAGCTAACTACCTCTAGGGCTATTTTCAACAACGTTTGGTAGGTCAAAATCGCCCTCGTAGTCAGCTGTTCGTGTTTTTTTCCAGTTTTTTGCGGTTCGAGGTTTCTTTNGTCTGGCTTCTAAATTCGATGGAAGCACATATTGCTGAAATCTTTGTCTTATTATAGATGAGACAATCATGGAAAGAATATAACAAATTATGGAAACATTCCAATTATCATCAACCAATATTCTCCAAATCATGTCATAATATTTTCTTCAATATTAGTGAATGTTCTTCAAATCACCAAATATCTCTCTTCTCCAACAAAAAGTGAACAGGAGAGAATATTGTATATGTCTCATTTAACTTACTGTAGCATAATTCTTTACTCATCCTTTTTAAGTTATAAAGATAACATGATTATTAGTTTTCCAATATTTCCTTTTTAGTTTACCTATTTTTGTTTCTCTGCCGACGTTCTTTTAAATTCAACATTAGAAAATAAATATTTAGGCATATGCTCTAGCCTTGGAGTGTTGTGGCACATCACCAAAGTCAAATTCTTTGACTTGAGATATTTTGATTTGGAAATAACCGTTTTCAAACAAGCATAGACAAAGGCAGTGGCAGTAAATTACTAGCACTAGTTTCATCCATGGATATCAAAGAATATGAATCATTTAGCACTCCAAGTACATCAAACTTAAACAAAAGAAGAAATATCGTACCATCTCCACCACAGTTTGGCTGGAAAGAAACTCGAATACCCCATCACTGGCAATCACAAAGAACGGATTATTTGAAGTGAGCTCCAAAACAACAATTTCTGGGTTTGCTACAACACCTACTGTCTCGGCAATGGAATCACCTATACTTCTTGTAAATGCTGTACCAGGATACATCCCATTTTGCACCCATATTCTAGGAGGATCACCATCATCGTCTTCTTCAGTGCCCCAGCACTGCACATCTGGGTTCTTGAGTCCTTCAATCTGATCCAAAGTGAGAACTCTTGCTCCACAAAGCTTCACACGTTCAAGTTCATCAGGCCGGAAAGGAGTTTGATCAATTGATAGGTCCACAGAGACAATATTGTTCCCTCTTCTCTCAGCTATAAGAGCTCTCGAATCACCTGCATTGGCAACATAAAGTGTCTTACCACGAACTAGAACTGTGATTGCAGTTGTTCCACTCATGCTATCATCTAAGACATCGTCATGCAACTGTGAATTTGTTGCCAAGAAAGCAGCATGACAAGCTTCAACTGCATCCACGTGGAATTGACTATTCCTAAGCAAATTTTCGCATAATTTCTGCTTCACAAAATTTGAGCATTGAGCTCCAAACTCCCCGTGTCCATCAAATACACCAAAGAAATGAAAATCCAGGCTTGTACCAAACGGAGTGTGAATGCAAAAACTATCTTGGTTAGCCTTATCAAGAGCATCAGGGTAATATCCTCTCTGAGACAAAAACGAGTAGCGCAATTCATAATTCCCAGCTGGAACCTTCACAGTTCTCGAGCCATCAGGGGGTAAAAATTGCACCGACACCCTGGACAGTCTAGTAATACCAACTTCATTATCCCTTGCTAACTGATTCAATTCATCTATTATTTCCCCTTCTTCACTGTCAGAATGAGCAGGTGAGAACACTGCAATCTCAGCTGCTGCTTTCACATTTTCAGTTTCTTTAACATAGATATCTCTAGGTGCACATATTTCACCAATACAAGACCTTGAATAAACACAACCCATTATTCAAAACAATAGCTTTTGACAAAATCCAATCCAGTCACATTTCCCAAATGATCCATCAGGTTTCAAATTCAAAAGAGATAATCTCACGATTCTATTTTCTGTAATAGCCCACATAAACATAAAACAACATCCACCTTAAACAATAGCTGGAACAAAATTTCTCCACCAACTGGTTCTCTGCAGTTCACTTATTTGAAAACTGAAGGTAATGAAGTCAAATCTATGACAGTGCAAGAGAACTAATCAGGTCCAGTCAATTCTTATCTATTCAAAGCACCAAAAAATTTCCCATTTCTAACGAAAAAACCCACAATTCAGATTGAAGAAATTCACAGTATACTCCTTCATCAAGAATTTATATAAACAGTTAGATACAGAAACAGAGTAGTTACATATATAACTATAAACATGTAGAAAGAACGGGAATAGAGATAATAAGTGACTGAGTGAACTTGGAAACTTACTAATGGAAAGAAAGTGCAGTGGATGTGAATGAAAAGTAGATGACGTGGCAGTGTGGGGCTACAGGGGAGAAGGAAGAGTGTTCGATGGAGAGACGTAACAGTGCATGTGTGAAGAGTTGGGGCCTCCTCTCTCCATAGCTTTTTGAGGAGTTAAAGGGGAATTGACTTGCCCACGCGCGAGTTTTGTGGTTTGATCTTGGGATAATTGGGGACCCACCCAAATTCACTGGAATAAATTTTTCTTCTTGGAGGCTAAAAAATAGAATAACGCTACTTGTAATTAGGGCTGTAAATGGATCGGATATGAATCGAATTTGCCTATATCTGATCCGATCCGATAATCCAACGGATATTTAATTGCTAAATCCATATCTGATTTGCAATGTTATCGAATATCCGATCTGAAATTAATAAAAATTAGGGGAAAAATTCGTGATTTACTAAAAAACCTAATTTTTAACTAAACCAAACATGTGCTTATACACAGCAAAAAATGATCGAAGTAAGAACTAGTCTCTTTCTTTTTGAATGCTTACGATATTGAGATACTCGTCTACCAAGATATTAGGACAACAACTTCGAAATATTAGCACTTCAAATTTTGTGTGTAATATGATAGGACATGTAGTCCTTTGGACAATATAGGCAAAATGTTGGGAAATTTATGGTATCAAATCGATTTATTAAAATCAATATTGAGTGAAATACCTAAACGTACATAGTGGAATTAAGGATTAAAATATTAGTTAAATAAAAAGCGAACATGTCAATACTTCTCAAATGGTTTGCTCAATCTAATTAAGCGCACAAGTAAAATGCCTCTTTTCCACACTTTCATGCTGATTTCTGAAAAGGATGAACTTCGTGTATCAATTTACCACTTCAAACTAATGAATCTTCTCGAAAACTGCTCGAGTAATACTGTACAAGTGTGTGGGCGATCGATTTTTCAAACCAGGATAAGACTGCATCTAGGATTTCTTGGATTGGAAGAGACAACGCATATTGATAAGTAATAAATTGAAAATCTCTTTTATCTAGTTCTTCATAATAAAAAACCTCTTTTCACCCCACATTAGATTATGACAAGTAAATCTTGATCAACCAATATTGATTCCAAGTAAAGTAGCACAATCATTTATAAGTTTGTCTATATTTTTATATTTATTGGATGTGGAATTTTCAAATTTTAATTGGATCGAATCGCTCGTTTGAACTTAATGGGCTATGATACCATATTAAGACTCCGGTTCCATCTTAAAAAGTTAACATCATTAAGAAGAGTAAACCAATCATTTATAAGTTGATCTACATTTATTCGATATGAGATTTATACCTCAACTCGGCTCTTATTAGTACAATGTAATCACATTTAGTACAGGACAATCTTATACTTTAAGATGGTCGTCGGCACCTAATCCTACTTTTCAAGAAAGTGTAGCACTTTGAGTTTATTGTGCACTTTGTCGAGAATGCTGGGCTGCAGAGATTTTAAAGATATTTTTATCTAGAATTTTAAACAATTTAAGATGATGCATATTATTTATTTAAATATGAATTTCAATGCGTCCCTTCCAAGTGCGAGTCAATTCATTTCTTTATTAAGCCCTTGTTTGGCAGAGATTAAAATCAGCTTTTTAATAGGTTTTAATAAAAGTTGATGAAACGTGGGGATCAAAAATTGTGAATTCTATAAAATGTATAGTTAAAATTAATTGTTGACTTTGACTTTGACTTAAACTTTAATCAAAATTTTTAGCGTTACCAAACGGGGAATAAAAGACAGGAACACGAATGGAGCTCAATCATCTAGTATTTTAAACAACTATATGCATGGAACGTGTTATTTATTTAGATTTAGACTTGGATAGTACTTCTATTAGAAATTTTGATCTTCTCTCATGTTTACCTAGATTCAACAAATCGATCTACCGAAGGTAAAAGTACTTAAAAAGTAATTCCCGGGCTTGTCTATAGATTTTAACATTTTAAGAATAAGAATCATTCAATTGAAGACACGCATAAAATAATTTAAATATTTAAATAGTTCTATTACATAGTAAAACTTTAGATATAGTGAGTTTCACGAAATATGTGAATAATACTGGACATAAATTATAAAAGTATAGTTAAGATTAATATTTGATTTTAACTGAACGTACAAAGTACTAATAAATTTGTATTCAAACGGAGGCTAAGATGCACGAAAACTTCTCAATGAATGTATTTAAAGCGCGTGCATTAAACACGTAAAATAAGTTAGCTTTCTGCTATCCACTGCCCCAATAGAGGCAGGGAGGATATACTTCTCCCAAGTCTGAGACAGGCAAACAATCATATGGGACCTAACTTTATTTTTGAATAGATAGATTGGCCTCCCATTTGGGACTTTCCTTTTAGTTCAATGCATAAAGGCATGTAGGCCATCCTAATTTTAAAAAGTTGTAAAACAATGGAGATCATCTCAAGATTTATATAATTGAGAAAAGCTGTGTATGTTTAAGATAAAATTGTGGTCACTTGTCAATTAACTAAAGTTGATTACAAAAAAGTAGTGCAGTCGATCTGCATTGCGTATTTGATTAGTTTAGTCGTTTGTCGACAAATGCTACTGTCACTCTGATTTTTTCCTTTCACTCGGCTTAATCAAGTGAAGAGAAGGATGACTATGTAGTTGTGATATATTTTATCTAGAGCCTCTTCTTTTCGACAGAAGGGTGGATAAATTAAATATTTGTTTGTTATCTTATTCAATCTAATACAATAAAAAAATGGTAAATCGAAATAATTTATGCAAAAGAGAAGTAAACTACTTGGGGTTAACTATAGAGTGGGTTAGAATCGATTTTCAATAGAGCGATCTTGTTGTACCTTAAGAAAGTGTATGTTAGTGCAATGCCTTCGAATGGACGAGAGAAACCGATCATGTGCAGGAAAAAACCTGAAACTATAAAGGTAACAGCTCGAAAGTCACATAGAAGCCTGGCCAAACTGAGCAATCTGTCTTGTCTACTTTTGAAGGTATTTGTACTCGTATATGTAATAAAGAACCTTTATACAAAATATCTGCAGATGTTTTTTTTTTTCTCCTCAAACTATTGTGACTCAAGTTGGAAATCTATGTGGTGACTACTTAGGCTTTGCACTCTCGATTAAAATTGTTAATCATTTCATCTGAAACTTAACCTTAAAGATAGGTCACATACATGTTTTAAATCTCGTATTTAGCTTTTCAATTAAAATGTTTAGTAACTCTTCCTTAAACTTTATGCTGAAGATAAAACTCAGACACCACGTGCGTGTGCACACATATATTTGTTTCTGCTAGACCTAATGCCATGATGGAAGTGCATATTGACGTAGTATGATAACTTATATGCATATTGACGTATCATGATAATTTATTGAAAACTCGTCTCATTTAAGTCGAGGAAGAGAGCATTAGCTCAACACTATATCTTAACGCGTGACATCGCTTAAGTTGCCACTCTCATGCCTCTTATTTCTATGATACAAAAAGGTAGTCTGCAGTAAATAATCATGCACGACAATTTGATTTAACAAACAAAAGTAACTTATAAATAATAAAGCCAAACAAATTGTTAAGTCTTTATGACAAATTTGCTCTTCGTATTGCTTAAAGTTACAAGCAATTTTCTCCCAAGGTAAATCAGATTTTGTTCCTACAAGGTAATAGTACACCTCAATCATGCATAACCTAATTAACGAACATAGCATCTATCTTCATCATTCGGTTCCTTTGAGAAGGGTATGATACCTCCACCTGTCAAGCCCGACAAGCAGTTCATGAACCATAGAGTTGCATCCCTACTCATCAGGTCTATGCACATCGCTCTCTCCTGGAGGTTGCCTACATATCCTAGATCTTCCCATATCCAAGAAAATCCTTGGCTTGATCTAGTTTAGTATCAAGATGATTCTGTTAAACAAAGACACGCGCTACAATTGAATTTTTTATACAAAAGGGATTTGTTTGTACGGAAGTAGAGAGAGTAAAATGAGTTTTTGATTGTGTAAAAATGCATTCTAATAGCTTATGTGAGTCATTGATCCCAGGGTCATGACTTTTAACAATTACTAGTTTGTGTCCGTGCGATGCACGGGTTTTGATTTAATTGAGGAAATGTTAGCGTATTGTTGGATATGGCAATAAATGGGGTGTGAAGTGTGGAAACGGGAATTAAGTTTTTGAATTTGCATTTCTTTTCAGTTATAAATTTATTCAAACTATCTGTATAACCAGTCATGTGAAGTAGAAAAAAAATTTGAAGATATGCCATTCTTATTAGTGGTATCGTGGTTTGGGAGATGTGGCATTGTTACGATTGAGAACACTTTTGTTAACAATCATTGAGTTGGTTTTTTGAAATAAAAACGTACATATTGTATTATCAGATGCTGCTCAAGTACATGAAGACACGAACACGAGTGTTCATGAATTTTTAGAAAGAACAAGAAGAAAAGTTGATGATAGAGATCCTCATCTTTCACGCTTCAACTCATTTGGTCCTTCAGTGACCATTCTTGAAATCAGGTGATACTTCAGTGATCGTTAGTGCAATTTTGGAACTTCAGTGATCGTTTTGTTATTTTGACGTAACTTCAGTGATCATTTGTGAAATTAACCCACTTGTAATACATGCTCCAATATGACATGCTCCCGGGGACGGACGCAGACTTTAAAAGTTAGAAGAGTACAATCGAATTTTCAAAAAAGTTGGAATAAATTTTACAATAAAAAATTTACGTCCAAAAAAATCATACCCCATATAATTTTACATCCGAAAATTTACATGGGATATGACTTTTTTCGGATGTAAAATTTCGAAAAAAATTTATATCATATTCCATATAAAATTTCATAATAAAATGATGAAAATTATATTGAGAAATTTGTATCGCAAAAATAATAAATGTTAATGAAATAATTGAATTTTTAAAAAAAATGCGAGTTAGACGTCTTTCTTTAAGACTCACATTTAACGCATCTTTAACTATTTTCGATAT